TTATTATTAATAATAATACTATTACGACTAATAACGATAACAACAACAATGATAATATAATGCTACTTTAAATATATGATGATTATATTTTTAAACTCTAAGTGTCGTCTTTAAAAAAAATGCGTGTATCGCAGTTGAACAAGTGTGGTACTGCTGTACATATACAATATACAAGAACTATTAGAAATAAAGGAAAATGACATTAGTGCGATTGTCCAAGAAGAAAACAAGAGGAAAAAATGAAGAAGAATATGATTAATAATAACTCTCTTATAACAACAGAGAAAAAAGTCTAAAACTCCTCGACACATGCCACCTTAGGGATGTAAGTGTTCATACATTCGCTGTCTGCATATGATTGGTTGCGTTTTACTGACAGTGTCCTCCAGATCGCGAGTGCTGAATACTTAGCAAGATGTAATTTTTAATTAAAAAATCAATGGAAATTGTTTTAAATTTCATGATAATTAATCATGTATATATATATGCTCTTCCTATATACTTGTCTTCGATTGTTCTTTAATTATTTCCAAGCGTTCCGTCCATCACATTTTCAACATTGTTCAAATATGCTTCTCAGATCTTTGACTGCCTTCGAAGTACTATTCTAAAAGAAAGCAAGCATTTTTTAAATAATCATTTAAACATATAGAAATGTAATTGCCTAAGAATTACGATTAGCAATAATTTTCACATTTCTTTTTACTGTTCTTTCAATCTATTTAAAAATGATCGCTATTGTACTTTTATTGTTTACAGCCGCAATGAAAACTATTTTTGTGTATTTAATTATATTCTACAAATTTATAAAATATGTTAAGACGAAATCAATAAGTGTTATTTAAATTCAAGAATTTAAAAAAAAAGAAAATATTATTCGTTTGCAATGAATTCAGAATTTTTTAATAAACTATATCGATATCAGTGTTAGTATACAGCACTCTCTTGATTTCTAACGTGGCCATTACATGTATCTATAAAAAAATTTATAATCTATAGTCATATGGCTAATAAATGAACGCTAATCCATTGATTGAAACAATTAGAGAATTGTCTGCATACATAATAGATTTTTGATCATTGATCTCTTATTAAAAGAATATAACAAAATAATAAAATTAAATTTTACGGATGCAATGATGAGAAAATAGCAAATATATATTTAATTACAAATATATAAAAATTTAAATGATTTTTGATCTGTTAGGAAGAAAAAAAAGTTATAAGTTCTATTATTTAAATCAGATTTATTTTGCTATTAATTGGAATTTTATATTTATTCCGAAATGTAATTGATGTATATAGCCGAACAGGCACAAGGTGCTTCCATTAGTAGCTTACGAGCTTTTTCTGAGCATTGTACGATACAAATCGATTTCTACTCTGATAGTTGAAACTGCTTGAAACTGTTAAAAAAGTTTTAGAAGAAAGAAACAAGTTGATCGAGGCTTAGTAAAACGATATCATCAATTGAAGACAGCTTTCATTATACAGTATAGCTCCTTATACGGTGTAGTGATGTAAGTAAAAAAAAAAAAGTAGGTCGAACGATTGTAGATAAAGTTATGAAAAAAAAAAAAAAAAAAAAAA